TGTCCCTTTATGTAGGGGACTTGGTTCTAGAATTGTTGTAGTGTAATCGACTACTTTAAGGGCTTATTTGAGGTACGTACGCGTACTTAGCATGTTTTGATGATGTAGAATCATGTTAGGTTTGATTTCAATCAATTACAAGTAGTATCATGCTAAGGTTTATGTATGGAATTGAGAATTTGTGGTGTTTGTGATTGAATTGTGAAGCATGAATTATTTGTGATGGTTATGGATTTGGAAAATTATATTTTGGGCATGTTGTGTTTGAACCACATTTTTATTTATGGCATGTTAGAAGGCATGATTAATTAAACTACATGTTTAATTATGTTTGGAATATTGAAAAGGAATTTTATTATGGTTCAAATAATTTTTATTGATGCTTTAAGCATGAGGAAGGAGTTATATAAGTGTCTATGTACACAAGGAATAAATAGTATGTTGGTGCCTTTGTGCACTTAAGGTGTTTTTAACACCGAGGGATAGGATTTTTGGCGCATTATGCGTTTAAGGTGTCTTTGACACTGAGGTAGAATTAAAAAGGGTTCAACAATAAATAATATGTGGTCACTAATTATTCAAGAATTAAATTGGTATGTTAGTTTGATTGTATAATTATTGTTGATTGACTTATTATGCTTTGAGAGTCATCACCAAGTCTAATAATCTGTAAATAACGTAAAGTGAAAGAGATTACGCACTAAAACTCTTGGAACGTATATACTTTGAGTATGAATAATGGGGGGAGTTATGGGGTTTTATATTTAACCATAACTTCCAATGGAGTACAGGACGTTGTATATTCCTTTTTTATTATTTATTATTATGCGCAGGAATTCCGCCACCTTTGTGTGGTTTTGTCGCTGGTACGGTTAGCTCCCGTGTCAGTTAACCTCAAATTTATTTGGGGGAGGTTAGTAGGTGGAAACCCGTTCGATGTGTAATCAATGCAAAATGAATTAATTAGTGTCTAGTCATTGTGTCTTGTTGATTGGTGTGTATGCTTGTGAACAGGTGCAATGAGGTAAGTGTGTCTTGATAGGTGAAAGCATGTTAGTGTGGCTAATTTACGCTTATGTACTCAGCTTTGCTGATTGTGTGTGTTTGTGTATTTGGCCATGTCTTTACCTTGGCCCTATGATGGCCCATTTCTAATGGAGAGTAGTGGAAACAAATAGAGATAAACTTTTCGGGTATTGAAACATGATCATGATGGGGCATGAGAGAAGAATGAATTTTACTAGTTTTCATTAGGTTACAAGGTGTTTTATGCTTTATTTATTTATGACTTATTTTATGTGGACTAACACAAAGATTTGGTTTTAGAACGGTTTTTGAATAAGGGCCTTTAATGGTTCCAAGTTGTAGTTTGATTTTATTTGACTTTGGTTTTGACTTTATTTTTGTTGGTTGACTTTTCAAGTTGATTTGTTTTGAACGGTTTTGAAGTTAGTCTTCCGCTGTGTGTCTTTGATGGTTGCCTTAGCCGTTTTCACGGTGGCGGTAATATCTTAGATATTCCTATTTAAATTTTTAAATAGGGCAAAACATGTATTTTGAAGGAAAGGAATTTCTAGGGTGTTACACCTAGGCTTCAGAATGGCCTCAAACCTCTGCATTGAACAATTAATTAAATATAATGCAAATGTAATTAGGCTACAATCACAATTTTTCTGCTCAATTAAATTAATATTTGAATATCAGGTTCTAATTAGAGTGCAATATTGATCGGAGCTCCCCTTGTGAGATAGTGACCCAAACACGAAGTTTCATCATAAATGACCCGGATTTTCATCCCAACCATTAAAAAGCAACTGCAATAATGCATTCATCGATGACATATACTCACTGTGGAGATTGATCAAATCAGACAATCGTCTTAATTCGGTAATCTAAATATCCTAGAGTGTCACGATGAATACTTTCATCAACTACACGTGGAACCAAACTATATTATCGGACATTGTATTATGAGCATTAATCTCAATTAAAAAATATAAAGATAAAAAAATGTCTACCCATTATTGAACAACCAATACTTGATGCAAATGGCAGGTACAAATTGCTAATACATTATTCTTTTTTTTTTTTTTTTTTTTGTCTTGTTAAATGTGTTCTAATTCCATCAACCACACTAATAAATCTTATGTCAAACATCTGAACAAGTTTGTTACAATGTTAGCCGAATTAACTCGTATACAATCAAAATAAATTGATAGAATAGTGTAATACAAAAGTCAAGAATCAAATGTATGAACTAATCGTATTTCTCTTAAAAAATTTCCATTTCTGAATATGTTTTAGGAAAATCTGTTGAGAATGATATAACCTTTGGACGGATTTTCAAAAATAAAATGACCTTCTAAATATTATAAAACAATACGGACTTTGTAATATTTACATAATTACATCTAATTTGTTATTTTAAAAATAATCTCACGTAATTTGTAAATACACAAAAAAAAATTTAATATTATTTATTTTAATTAATTTTTCATATTTTAATAACTAATTTTATTTTTACAACAATATCCATAGGTTACAGAAGCGTATATTAGAGTTTCAACTACATGTCTTCTAAATTTTTTTTTTTTTTTTTTTTTTTTTGACATAACAAGTCATTAACATAACAAGTTTTTCTTAGCACAGTTAGAAGAATACCAAAGTAGCAATAATAACATAACAAGTCTTAGGATAGTTAGGAGAATATCATTTGATTCATGCAGGTATTTGCAATTTGGAATAGATTTACGCAAATAATTAGCATGCACATTCTTTATGTGATTTACAAGACAACTCTCAGTTGCAAAGTTCCCAACAAGACAAATCCGTGGATTGTTGTTTCTTTATTTTTAGCCTTATGTATTCTTAACTTTCTTTAATTTCACTATTCGGCTTTAATAGTTTTAACTAATTTATAAAAAAAATTTACTTATTTATATAAAAAAAAAATATAAGAACAAGTTTTTGTTAATTTACTTATTTGATGATACGGTGAACGTATTGCGACTTTGCGAGGACAAGCGACTTTGCGAGGACAAGAATTGTATACCGTGTAAAAAACAAAGCATTTGAATAGGTTGGGTTATCCCTTATCCTAACAGAAATAAAGATTACATAAACCAAAGGGATAATAAAGGTATTATATAAGTTGTCATAACTCATCAGGATTGCAAAAGGAATTAGGTTTCCTAATGCTAGCTGAACATAAATTGTAAAATTCATATATAAATTGTCTTTGATGATAGATGAATAAAAGTAACGATAAATTTGTGTGAGATCCAAAAACCACAATTTTTTATTTTTATTTTTTGAATCGTGAAGACCACAATTGTGATAGATGATGATGAAAGGGGGAGATATATTGTTATTTTCCTATAGAGATAATTATCAAGATACTCTCATGGACATCATGGCTGTCCAAAACTCTTTTTAAATATCACGATAACTAGTATTTAAAATATTTATTCTATTGTTTTTATTAATAAATCTAAATCAATTTCATTTCATCTTAATTGTGAATTGTGATGTTCAAATATCTTCTACCAAAACTGACCGAAAAGTGCGTATACATATTAATCCTTCATTTGAAAGCTTCACAATTAGGTTCTTTACACCATTCAAATTCCTTGTGTTAGCTAGAGTGAACCATACATTACAGAGGATGATTCATGGGAGCTGAAGTTGATGCTGCGAAAAGGAGTAAAGTTGAGTTAATTTCTGTCCAAGAGTTGCACTAAAGGCATGTTATGATTTACTGAACTGAACTGAATATATCTAAAAAATGAATATTTTTTGAGAAAAGGAAATTAGAAACTATACCTGTAAAGAACAGGCCGCCCTAACTCAACATCTTTTTTATATTGTGGATAGGTTTACAGCTAGAGAACCTAGCTAGCTCATATTATTGAGTTTTGCCAAGTGTGTGTGTGTGTTTTTTTTTATCAAAACTTTCTTTCACCTATTTCACCTTTATCCCTAAATACATCGGATTCGTTACATTGTATATTTTATTAATATCAAATTTTAGGAAAAATGGAATCTAAAAATCCAACCTTTGGCCGGTCTGACAATAAAAATCCAACCTTCCATTAATCTCACAAAAATCCAACCTTTGCTCCCCACCTTCTTTGACAGGTCCATTTGACCTTGAACCTGTTAAACAGATTAAATTTATTTTTTTTTCCTTACTCCTTCCTCCTTCATCCTTCCTTTCTCTTTCCTTCCCCTCCATATTTTATGTTCATCGACCCAAAACCACCCAAACTATTACCCAACCACGACCACCCAGAACCCACACCCTAACCCCTCCCCCCCCCCCCCAAAATTCGAGCCACCCTAACCCCTCCCCCATGAAAACCGACCACCCCAAGCCCCTCTCCCATGAAAACCGACCACCCTAACCCCCTCCCCTTCAAAAATCGACCACCCTAACCCCCTCCCCTTCAAAATCCGACCACCCTAACCCCCTCCCCTTCAAAATCCTACCACCTCCCTAAGGTGGTAGTGGTGGAAGGGAAATTGGGTGGTTAGGTACGGTGGGGATGGGGGCTTTTCTGTTTTTTTTTTCTTTTAATTTTTTTAAAATGATTAAAAAAAATAATTGACCAATTAATAGCTGACACGTGGCACGTAACTTACAAAAATCGGTCATCAACAGATAATGAATCAGTCAAAGAAGGGGGGCAAAGGTTAGATTTTTGTGAGATTAATGGAAGGTTGGATTTTTATTGTCAGATCGGCCAAAGGTTGAATTTTTAGATTCCATTTTTCCCAAATTTTATAATTTTACGGGTACAAAAATAAGTATACAGACGCTTTAAGACATGTCTTGAAGACTGAAAACTATATATGAAGATGTATGGACAGTGGCGGACCCCGACAGGGGGGACCATTGTCCCCCACTTTCAAAAAAAAATCAGAGAAATAAAAAAAAAAAAGAAAAAAAATCAGCAGCACGTGGTTGAAGAGAAGGAAAGAGAAAAAAAAAATTCAGAAAAAAGGGAGGAAAGAGAAATTCAGAAAAATTTTCAGAAAATTAAGGGAGGAAAGAGAAAAGCTTTGAAATTCAAAAACCTAAGAGAAATTGAAGATCCCCACCACCGACCACCGCAAGAGCACGGCACCACCGAGTCACCGACCGTCGGATTTCTCGCCGCAACACCGCCACAGCGCCACTACCGTCAAGACGTCAACACCTGAAGAAATTTCTGAAATTCTGCAAATTAAATCACAAACGAATTCTACTTAGTCCTAGTTTATCTCTATCAAAATTTTTGTACTTCAAAATTCAATGGAGTAACAAGCTGAGGATAACGAAAACCCCAGTCAAAACCCTCTGTTTCTGGTATGTTTGCTAAACCCTAGGTTTTGGATTATTATATGTACGCATAATTACCTTTATTTTACAATTCTTGTTGATTTTTTTGTTGGAAATATCAAATTTAGCTAAGTTATTGTGTGTTGATTTTAATTTTTTCATTAATATTTTCTCATTACTTTGGATGCTTTTAAATGATAAATTTGTTACATTTTGATTGGAATTTGATAGTGATTTCGTACAGTGTGAATAAGATTTTATAAATCCAATTATTACCAATTGCAAGATTGATTTGAAGGTATTAGGCAATTGACAAAATAAACTTTTTTTGTGTTTAATCTTTTGTTGTTGTTGTTGTTGAAATCTTATACTTAGCTGATTTTATTGCTTAAGGAAAAAGTCGTACAAACTAATTTGTGGAGATAGGAAATGATTTGAGGTGAATGAAACGCCTCTATATGTCAGGTTGTTCTTTTTTTTTTTTTTTTTTTTTTTTCTAATTTTTTTATCTTAGATTATAAAAAATTAAAGAATTAGTTTATGAGTAATTATGTTTATGAAATCATGTTTTTGAATTAATTTGTGATTTAGTTTATTTCTTATTAGTATTGTGTACCCGAATCATTTGTATTGTGTACCCGTTTTTTAAAAAAAAAACAGGTTGATGTTAGTTGAATTATCGAAATTGTCCCCCATTGTCAAATTTCTAGGTCCGCCACTGTGTATGGAGTAGTATAAACTATAAAGTGCCATTATAAAAGTGCATGATAAATAAATGTTCATTTGTGACATTTTTAGATCTAACGAAGAGATTGGGATTATTGGTTATATACATATAAATAAACTATATTAGCTATTTTTTTATTTTTTTTATTTTTTTTTGTGTGTGTGTGTTTTTAGAGAGCCACAAGAGCAGGGGTGAGAATCGATCACATGATCTTCTTGAATCGGGAGGGAAGATCTAACCACTTGAGTTATCCCTCACTCTCGGAACTAGATCATATACGACTTATTTAATTTTTTATTTTTAAAAAAAAAAATATCTTTAAGTCTGTGCGTCGGACCTGAGTCATGTCTAGGTCTAAATTAACCCAGACTCGACCATTCAGTCTATCCCAAACCCTAAAATATGGGTCGAGTCTAATCGGGTCTTACCGTCTTGGACCCATTGCCATTCCTACATACCAGACAAAAAAAAAAAAAGGTTTTCCCCCCTAAATTTTCATATTCTTTTAAGTTCAACTTTCTATTCAAAACACCATCATCACCATAATTTTTAAAAACCCTCTCAATTTACACCATTGATCTGCTAAACTTTCTGACACAATTAAAAAAATTACAAAACCTCCATTAACAACAATGGCACCAAAACTCGAAACCCCTTCATCTTCTTCAACCTCTCAATTCCCTCATGCAAATTCCGACATTACCCCCTAACCCATCTAAGTTGATAACAATGACATAATTTTTTTTTTTTTGGGGGGGGGGGGAATTGATAAAAATAATCTCAACTTTCACCGGTTCGCTCAAAATAATCTCAATTTTGAATTATTTTTAAATTATCAGAATTTTAGGGTTGAAAATTCTAAATTTAAAAAAAAAGAAAAAAAAAACACAACGACAACCTCCCTACCACCACCCACCGGTTGCTGCCGAACTCCTAACCACTGCCGTCGAACCTCCCTCACGCCGGTGCCGGCTCCCAAACCATCCCTCTCTCACGCCAGCGCCGGCGTTTCCCTCCTTCTTAAAGTACAACATATTTCATAATTAGTTTACCTTATTTAATTTTTTTGATTTTTCATTAGGAAAGTATAATCATAATTGCATAATTTAAGGTAAAAATTTCCTAACTTAAAGTCATGTCATCAATACACAATCAATTAATTCAAAAAAAAAATCAAGTTATAAATAAAATATATTCAATATGGGTAGATTTTTTTGAAACGCCCAAAATAGTATATGGGAGTAACATTATGAAACGAAGGGAGTATTTTATTTTCAAGATAAATAAAAAAGGTAGTTGAGATAAACGGGGCCTCACTCGGCTTTTTCCCCCAAATTTTCAGCTTTTAAAATTCAAAATTCTATTCAAAACACCATCATCACCGTAATTCTTAAAACCCTCTCATTTTACACTGCATAATAAATTCACAGCACTGCCACCAATTGAAACCCCTTCATCTTCAACCTTTCAATTCTGCTTCCCTCCATTAACAACAATGCCACCAAAACTCGAAACCCCATCATCTTCTTCAACCTCTCATTTCGTCTTCCCTCATGCTAATTCCAACATTACCCCTAACCCATCTAAGTTCTTCTCCCCAAAACTCCTCTCCTCTGCTCTTCCCACCACTTCCTTCTTCACCAATTTCACCCTCAAAAATGGCGATCGACCCATCTTCGTCCACCCTTATCTCGTCAAACTTTCTCTCTCCTCACTTTCTCTCTCCTACCCATCTCTCACCTCGTCGTCTTCTTCCATTTCCCAGAATTTCACCCCTGATTTCACCGTCTCCACTTCACAATCGTCTCCTCATTTGGTCTCATCGTTCAGTGACTTGACTGTTACTGTTGATTTCTTGGGTTCTGATTTTAGGTTTTTGCTTGCAAGAGGAAGCCCTTATGTCACTCTAGAAGTTTCTAGACCTTTACCTCTCTTATTTGCGACGAATTCTGCAATTCAAACTATCTGCTCTTCTTCTTCTCAAACGAAACACAGAATCGAACTTCAAAACAATCAAACTTGGGTTGTTTACTCATCTTCTGAGTTAAATCTGGAAAAACAAGATAATACCCATATCAAAAGTTCAAAATCATTTTCTGGGGTAGTTAGAATTGCAGTTATTCCTCAAGAAAAATCAAACAAATTTGAGGAAATTCTTGATTTTCACAACACTTGTTATCCAACAAATGGGGAAGCAGTCTTTTCAACCCCATTTAGTTTGGATTACAAATGGGAGAAAAAGGGGTGGGGTGAATTGTTGATGTTAGCAAATCCATTGCATGTTAAGCTTCTATCAGTTTATAATTCTGGAGTTAAAGTTCTTGATGATTTTAGGTATAAAAGCATAGATGGTGATTTAGTTGGAATTGTTGGTAATCGGTGGAATTTGAGGGTTGATAATATTCCAATCTCTTGGCATTCAATTAGAGGAATTCCTGAAGAAAGTTACCCAGAAATTGTTACTGCATTATGGAAAGATGTTGGGGCTTTAGATTCGAACCCGATTTCGACAACAAATGTTTATCGCTATTCAATGCAGGTTTCTAGGGCTGCTAGATTGGCTTTGATTGCTGAAGAAGTGAATTGTTTGGAAGTGATTCCAGCAATTAGGAAGTTTTTGAGGGATTCAATTGAACCTTGGTTAGTGGGTTCATTTGAAAAAAATGGGTTTTTATATGATGAGAAATGGGGTGGAGTTGTATCAAAACATGGTTCTGTTGATCCGAAGGCAGATTATGGGTTTGGATTTTACAATAATCATGTTTTTGCATTGGGTTATTTTGTGTTTTCAATTGCTGTTCTTGCAAAAATTGATGTTCAGTGGGGGATGAAATTTAAGAGGGAAGTGTATGCATTGGTAGCCTCTTATATGAGCTTGGGAAAAGGGGAGAAATCTAAGTATACTAAGCTTAGGTCATTTGATGTGTATAAATTGCACTCATGGACTAGGAATTTGAATGATGATTATGAACGGAATTCCGAAAATCCAAGTGCTTCTATCAATGCTTACTACTCAGCTGCACTGTTGGGTAGGGTGTTTGGTGATGATCATCTTGTGGCTATTGGCTCGACACTTGCTTCGTTTGAGATCGAAGCAGCTAAGACTTGGTGGCATGTCAAGGAAGGTGGAGAGGTGTATGAGGGCGAATTTGTTAAGAAGAATAAAATGGTTGGTATAGTTTGGGAGTACACGAGAGAAGATAAGCTGTGGGGCACTGCAGCTGGGAACCGGGAATGTAGGGTACGATTACAAGTTAAGCCACTGATGCCTGCATTAACTGAGATGCTGTTTGCTGATCTTGGATACATTAGAGAGGTCATCGATTGGGTGGCACCGTCTTTGGCAAGAACGGATGTTAGTGATGATTGGAAGAGCTATGCTTACGCATTGGAAGCTATAATTGACTCAAAAAATGCATTGAACAAGGTCCGAAATCTGAAAAGTTTCGATGAAATGAACTCTTTGTCAAACATGCTCTGGTGGTGTCATAACAGAATTGGGAAGCAGGATTATTGTTCTTGGTGTAGAAAAGAGTTTAAAGATTGCTCCTATTGTTGCTATTGCTGCTAAATTGACCTTGTTAATCTTGCAGTATGTTCGAGTTTAATCAGTTTATTAGAGCACTTGTAGACTGTAGCTATTGCTACCATGGTCACCCTTTTGAGTTTTGAGTCTATATGGTTATTTGTGTAGTTTTTCAGACTGTAAGTCAATCGAGCTCTTGCAGGTTTTGCTACCTCTTGAAAATTAGTTATCATAGGGTATCTGGAGCTCTATTTTTGGCTTTGGCTAATAATGAACACTATGTTATGTTTGTGCTCCCTAGTTTGTGGTAAATCAAATCTCTTCTAGTAAAGAATTTCTTGGTTAGTGTAGTTCTCTGTTTTTAATTAGCTTTATAAAATATAAATTTGCTTGTTGTGAATGGAATACTCCATATTCAAGTTGTTTGAGCTCTTGTAGTCAAGTGTTTAGGCAAACTCTATGAAATTTCGATAATAGGATATGTTTTCAATGTGACATCTTGGTTATCTGATGAAAAATGTGGTGTTAGAATGGCAAATTTTGGATATTCGAGCAAATGCCCACACTACATTGTAGACTTATAAGTCTTTTATTGTGTATGTAGTAGCATTTTTAGCCGAAGTTAACACAACCAAGGCTGTGACGTTTTTGCTATCTTGTGTTAATAAATCATGTCTCTTGCATTATATTGTGTTAGTAGTAGTTATGTTTGAATCTTGTGTAGGATGGACCATAATCTATCTGAAGTTCTTAAATTTTAGTGGCAATAGTAAACTTCTCATTTGCACTGAGGCTTGCTATCAACATTCCTATCCATTCATTTGATTATTTTATGTTGTTCTGGCTTTTAGTTCAATGATAATCTTCTTGTGTTAGAATGCTTTGATTGTCAGACTGGCATTTGCGCTAATACTTGAACGGTTCGTGTTAATTTTTGTTCACCATTTTCTATAGATATGGGGAGGTGCATAAAAAATCTAGATACCTCAAATGGGAAGATGAAGTGATGCCAAAGTTGATGTCGGGCATAACTTTCGATTTGCTGGAAAGGTAGATCTTAGGGGGTGTTTGGTATGGAAATTTATAATGTAACAAACGTAAACAAATAAGTGTTTCCATTTCTATTAGTTTGGTATGAGGTACAAGTAACAAATACCGTTACAAAGGGTAATAAAATCCCCTAAATTGATACTATGATCATTATTATTATCATCTTAATTCTTCTGTCCATCAGAATTGCAATTATTGCTAGGCTATAGCACTTGAAGTCATCAACCTTTTTTTTGGTTGGGTTGGGCTGCAAAGGTGCTCCTAGTCCACTCAGGCTCTTGAAAGCGAGGAAAGAGTAAAAGAAACTATTCCAAAATGCTCTTTTTAACGAGGTTGATCCCATAACCTTAATGTCATGGAACACAAGCTTTAACCACTACACCGGTTAAGTTTGTTATCTTTAGCCATGGCCCATTTCGGTCATATGGTACACAAAATGGGAAAGAAGATGAGTATAATTTTTTTTAATACCTCAGTTTTATTCTTTTGCTTATGTGCTTAAATCTTGTTAGTAGACTTAGGGTCTGTTCTCTCACGTTGAAATTCAATTCAGTTCAGCTCAGCTCAGTTTAGTTCAGCTCCTAATTTCCTTCTCTTATAAAATATTCATTTCAGTTCAACTCAGTTCAGTTTAGCTCAATTCAGTTCAATTCAGCTGACTTCAGTCAATGAGAACAGGCCCAACCCGTGAAAACCCCGTACAATTCGAATCCGTAGGCTGAAACTTTAGGAGAACAAAGTTCTTCTAAGTTGCCACCAAGCCACCAGATGTTTGTTTGCGGGGATTATTGGTGGGGTAAGGATCCCTCATGTCCCATTATCCCTTGTTTGTTTGAAGGGATACAAGTTATCCCATATAAAAGGGATGGGGACTAAATTGGGGCTCTATGTCTATAATAGGGGGCAAGTATAAGGTTTTGGGATAAAAATTAAAAGGTGAAAGACAAATTTGCCCTTAATGAAAGGGAAGGAAGAGGAGAGAGGAGAAAAATTAGTAAGGATAGTTAAGTAAATTTGAAATAAATTTGCTACTTATTCCAATTTAATTCCCAACTCATTTCAAACAATGTATATCATAATTTTTATCTTTATCTCACCTAATAATTTTCTATCCTTATCCTACCTTTTTATCCTCATCATCCATATCCCTATTGGCAAATGCCCCGTAAGAGTACATAAATTCTATGATGGATACAAATTTAATATGCATTCAAAAGTCAAAAGGTGGATTAATGGAATAATGGTCCTTGGTACATAATTTCCTTTTTGGAGTTTAATCATAGTCACTTATTCATAAAGATGGCCCAATAAACTAAGAGAACATTAGTTCAGAAAATTTTGATTTCTTTTATTCCCTGCCTCCCTGGTTTTGCATCTTGCTTTTGTGTTCACAAATCATTAAGAAAGTTCTTAGCTGGTTAAGGAATTTGTAGTAAGATGACTGGTGGACGCCTAGGCAATTATTTTTGTAAACACCATGCAATATAGTATTTGTTAAGTATTGATATTAGAATTCCCTTTAAAAAAAGAGTATTGATATTAGAAAATCAATTGTTAATGCTGGAGTCTTAGGACTAGAATTTTATACTCCTAAATCCTTATCATAAAATTTGGAAATTTTTAACCGAGAACATAAAATTTTAAAACAGGAATAATGTTGTTTATTAAATGTAGTTACACTTATCCAGTTATCCTTCATAAGTACTCATAATCTTCTTGTCAAAAAAAAAAATACTCGTATTCTTAATTAAAGTAGCTATCTTATACGTAATAGATGACATTGGTTGAATACCTTTGATAGTTTTAATTATTATGACACTTTGAGCATATGGTAACAAGCATAGCTAAACCATTTTGTTCGAAACTAATTGATATTGTCATTTTTTTTTTTTTCGATACGAGTAAATTGGAGTAATCATTTTCTCCCTTCAATCTTCTCGTCTTTAAGTCCGTAGAAGTAAGTGGAAAGCACTTCGCTTAGCGTGATTGCAACTCCACCCTAAGAATTGTCTCTCTAATCTCCCCAACTAGACAATTCAACTACTCACAACTACATATACAAATATACATCCTACTCATCAATTATCAATTAATCATGGTAACTACTTTTGTAGTGATAACCAATTGCCAAGATCGCAAATTAGGATGGTTTATGATGTTTAAAGTTGATCTTATATTACAAATTTTTCATTTCAAAATTTCATTGTTTTGAGGGTTTTTTGTTGTAAATGTGCAATGCTTTTTTAAGGGGGGAAAAACAAAAAAATTAATTAAAATGAATTGAGGCCAACAAAAATTAACACACATTCATAATATAACCTACAACTCTATTACTGCCTCAGTTACTTATTATTTTCAACAAAAAATATTTTATTTTTTACAAATAATACACACAAAGTATTGGGTGAGACAAGTTTAATAAATTTAACTAGACTAGGGCTTGTGTTATGCACGGTAATTTAAAATAACTACTTTCAAATTAACACTATGTCAAATTTTATGACTTTCGTGTGTTATATTTTTATCAATTGAATGCTAATTTGCTAAAGAACAACAACAAAAATTATTGCAAAGAATAACATTAAAAATGATCAACATGTGTCGTTCTTGACAAGTATTATTGAAGTATCCATAGAGTATTACTTGATGAAATAACAAAAGCATCATGTAATTTGTTGATTTGATATTTGTATTTCATTGTTTATGTTTGTAGATTCTATTACATAATTAAGAATAAATCTTGTTGTGATTTATGTATGTAGTACATAAAATGTGTTTCCTAAAAAAATACTACGGAGTACTATTGTTGTTTTATGGAAAGATACATTAAATCTTCTATTATACTTTTTACGTAATTATTACCTTAAATATGTAATATGTAAAATCAAGGGCGAAGGGAAGGGGGGCTGGTGGAGGCCCGGCCTCCCCGGCCCAAATTTGTGGCCCTTGATTTTAACTTTTGGCCCCCTGTAATATATTATTTATAGTAATGAATACACAATTAATACAACAAATGAAGCTTGTCATATTGGTTAGATAATGACTTTTTTTCCCAATAAGTCTGACATGTATTTTTTAAAAATTCTTCTTATTATTTTAAATTATGTAATTTCATTTAATTAATAAATTTCTTATTGTTATTTACATGATTGTGATTAGTTGTTTACTTAGTTAATATATTTATTTATTTTATAATTTTAACTAATTTTTAATTTATTGAATGGACCATTAGATCAAATTTTAGGGTTATATATATGCTACTTAATTTGATAATTGTTGTTTTGTATTGAATAGGTTAAATCATGAAATAAAAAACACTAGATTTTTTTTTACAAAAAAAGTTAATAATCAACCAGAAGAGAGTTCCACTTCAAAGGCTAATTTTAATCCCGAAAGTAATTTGAGTGATGATTTTGCTACTATGAAAAATCATAGAGTACGATTCAACTAATTTTTGTTTGTAACAATAAAATAATAGTACATTTTAATTTTTTTCATCAATCTGTTGTTTAACAAGTCCGGCCCCCAGGACTTGAAAATCCTGGCTTCGCCCCTGTGTAAAATACAGTATTTGTTTTTTTAATGACACAACACAAGATGACACGTATCATTACCGGTGTGTCTTTTAGTATATATTTATTGATTGATATGCCAAAAAAAAAAAAAAAAAAAAAACATTATTATATTTTTGTTTTCTGATCAAAGACTTGAGTAGGAGGCAAATTAAACCAAAAACTAAACTTTGATCCACACTAAACGTTAGTGTAGTCGTGTAGCTGCCTTTAAATCACCTTAATAAACCTAAACCTTGCAAAAGTTTCAAGCGGTATGCAGCTCTAGTCAGCTTGTTAAAGAAAAGGAAGAGGTGGGTCCAACACCAAAGAGGAGCTTTCTTTTCTACAATGAAATTCGACTACTCTGACCGACCATCAGTATACCGCGGACCGCGGGCCGCGGCACAGACTAATATACCGTATACATGCCATATTAGTATATGGAGGTGTTTGGCGTGTAGAGTTTTATTCTTGGGTTTAAAATGGGGAATGAAATTATGTATGGCGGTAAACGTCAATCATACTAGTTATAAGTTTATAAAGCAATGATCAATACCAAATTATGATCAAGATGAGTTGACCAGGCTAATTTCATTTAAGGGTCTATTTTTATTGACTGAACTCAGCTGAAGTGAACTGAAATGAAATGAATATTTTATAAGAGAAGGAAATTAGGAGCTGAGCTGAACTGAACTGAATTTCAACGTATGAGAACAAACCCAAGTGTATTATTTTTATTTGACACTAACAAAACAATCCATATCACACATTAAAAAGAAAACAATAAAAAAAAAATGTTTTACAATTATTTTTTAGTTTGTGCTCAATATTCATTAAGATAAGTTTAACGAAATTATATTTAATAATGATTTTTCTTTCAATAATACAAGTACTAGTAAATTCAAAGTAAAATTAAAATTAGACTAAACCAAAAGCTTTCAAACCAAATCATTTCAAAATATATACTATGGTGATTTAGAGACTATATCCGAATGTTGGTGGATCTTATACCCGCCAACTCTCCCTTTATTCATTTGATTCGAAAGTCCACTTATAACTAGACGTGATTGGGTGGTTACTGTTGGACATTGCTATAGAGAGGCTAATTAAGTGGAAGATATATTAGCTAACATTGGTGTAACGTCCAACCAAAAAATAATTCTCTATCATGCGACCCCGGAGGATGTTCGTTAGGGATGACAATTTAATCCGAGTTCAATTCGAATCCGATCCGATCCGATCTGAAGGAAAAAAAATCCGATTCGAATCCATTTAAAATTAGTCCAAATCCGAATCCGATAAAATAGATCTGAATTCGAATAGGAGGTGGATCGGACTTGGACCCTACGCAAAGTCCGACGGAGTACGATCCGAGTCCGAATCCGAGGGTATAAGCATATGCTCTATAACTTTGGACAATTATTTGCTTGTTTTGTAGCAAAATTTTGTTATGTAACTTAGTTTATAATTTAAATATGTTATGTTTATACTTTAATCGGTATGACAATACAAGCAATTATTGGTATATGACATTACAAAAAATAAAAATTAAAAAAAATATTCGAATAATTTCGGAGGTCCGTATAAACGGACCGG